CATGTCTTTTTAAGCCTTGTGCTTTGTTTAATTATGTTTTGTTAAGCATGTTGATGGCTTTCTTTTACTTTGCTAACCAAGCTAGTTACATCTGCACAGGTTCACATGACAGTCACTCAGACACAGGCTTTGGGGCCTTCTGTTGTTTAGCTCCAATTGTTAGCGCTACATAGGTTAAACTTGGGTATTACAGCCTACAGTTGGGTAAGCATTGGTAAGGCATGGTTTAGGAATAGCTCTGTCAATGTACTAGCATGGGTTTTTCCCATGCTTTTGGGCTTTTCTGGTTTCCACGTGGGGCCAGGAAGAATTTTTCCCCTCCTGCTGTTACATACTGCTCTCTGCTGTCAGGGCTCTGTAGATGTCTCAAGCATATTTTAATTTGCAGCAGGATGTTGCAGCACCTTTGCAGCAGCAGGATGTTGGCCACTGGTCCACCTGCTTTACCTCTGGCAGGCTAAGATGTGTCAGTGTTGACCATGTAATTTTGCTAGTAGGTTAGACAATGATTTGTATAGGATGGTTTAGAGAGGGATGATCCTGCCTCATGCAGGCGGTTGGACTACATGACTTTCCTTCCAGCATTACTGCTGTATGATTTTATGATTTACAGTTCAAAATTCAGGCAGCACTGCATATGGACCAAATGGGCTGGGTTTACTTGCATCTCATGATGCCTCACAGTATCCCAAGACCAGTTTCATCCCATTGTACAACAAACATTAGTATGGTATTCTAGATGTGAAAAAGGTTTTTGGACCAAGAAATTTCAGTGAGCTTGGTCAGACTTCTACACAGTCCTAAACATGCTTGCAAACTCCCTTGCTCGTGCCCATGTTAACCGTCCAAAAATTATTTGGACAATCCCTCCAACTTGACATCCAAGAAACAAAAGCTGACTGTTTGCCTAAAACTTCATGTAGTAAGTGTTGTCTTACATGGATAGAAAGTAGAAGTATGAAGGAAAGTGTTGAAACAACATCAATTGATGTGGATACCCAAGATCAGACAAGCCCTTTTTGTGATATTTGAATTTTGTAGAAGGAGGACACACACATACCCAATTTCATTTTGCAATGCAGCTGCAGCAGGATAAATCTTGAGTAGTTAGAAGGAAGAGTCTGTCTATTTTAATAGACAAGTATCAAGGACCAAACTTTCAGTGTACAATTCCAAATCCTATGATGGCTACTACTTCATTAGCCAGCTACTGAAGGAAAAATGGGCACACAGAAGATCACTCAGGGAGAGAAGAGTAAACAAAGTGTGTATAAGTAAGTGAAATCCCTGGTTTCACTTATTTAATTTTCATATTCATTTCATGCACTTTTTTTTTTAACACTAATGAGGTTCTGGGGTGCAGGAGTTGTGAAAAGCTGTTTTTCCC